GTCACTATGTACGATTTACTCATTTGCATTCAAAGACCTTTGATTAGAATAATTTTTCAAAAATAAACAATTAGTAACAGGCCATTTGTTTACTAAATGTTATAGGAGAGACCCAGCTGTCTGTATCTCCTTCATTTTACTATTGTGAAGTTAGAATTTTCTCATGACATTTCACTATTTAAAAATGTTCAGCTAAATAACATCGTGTCAGATTCGATATTTTAAGGTTATCTTCCACATACTAGCCAAGAAGAAACGTGTTTCAATCTAAGAAAATCGCGAGTATTTCTGTCATTTGACTCCATTTTTCGTATACCCCGGAAATATATCTTATCCCTTATTTTGATGTGGAAGGGGACTTTTTAAAATGAACTTTAAAGTCATGTCCTGCTGACTTGCAAATGGCAGGCTGATGCTAAATGACAGAAGCCTTAAAAACTCTGATACCTTCTATCCCTGCACAGAGAGATTCCATGCTCCGTATGTTCTAATCCTTGGCTTTCCAATATTGCCTTCACGAGGTTAAGGAGATGAATGTTCATTGCTTTTAATCCTTACCATGATTTATGAGCCTCTTGGTATCCTTTCCCCAGAGCAGCTACAACTGTGTGGCTGTTCTGCCTGCTGCTTAAATTACACAGACATCTGCAAAGTAAATTATGGATTGTTGTCCCATAGACCATAACCAAGCATTCTCTTCATCTCTCCTGCAGGATTTTTTCTTTTTTTTTTTTTAATTAGAACAAAGACCGCATACAGTTGTACTTGCCTAAGTCCTGAAGAAATGTTAAGCTAACCTGAATGATAGCACAACGACCTGGATTATGACCTATCACATAACATCAAAGCAGCCTGACATCTAACAGGATTACTTTAAAGTTGGAAGGGAAAAAACAAAAACAAAAACAAAAACAACTTCCCTTTATTTATGTTTCTTCTTTATTTAAGGAACACCATCTTTATGTTCACAGGAGGAAGGTGACCTTTAAAATTAACTGAAGATGTGTGCCATGCAATAAAGACACATGTAAAGTGACCTTTCAGTCTCTGAGTGTGCAAGATTTTAAGAGCATCTTGTGGCCTATGGTTCTTTGAACCAAATATTGACAAAGAAATAAAAAAAAATACATAAAGGAAAATTCGTGAAAGATTGAAGTACCTCTTTAGGATTTTGTTTTTCTTCTACTGTTATCACTTGTAGTAAAGCTGGTTTAATAATCCTGGAAATTTGCAGAGATCATGAGTAATTGGAACAATTCTTTTTTCTGAATAAGAAGTCTAGCAGAGTCTGAGAAGAAATGGTCATCTCCTTCTGTATTTTCCTTTCTGTTCTCTGCTTACTATTTTGTGCAGATGATGACTCATAATTCCCAATGACAAGTCCATTGTGAAATCCTAATAGGCATGTCTCAAATGACTAGCCTTTGACAGTTACCCCAAATTAGAAATAGCCCAGCATTTTTTTTCCAAATGTGCTAATTGCAATGCAAACAATAACCCATCAGGGAAAACCTCACTAACAAAATTTACAAAATGATTTCTAGTAATGCCTTACAAAGTACATTTCTTTTTTAAACAGATGGCTGTGCAATTCATTTTTTTTTTGAATCCTACTGTCAACTCAGCAGGATGTTGTGAGGGCTAAAACCAGAAATGCTCAAATCTACTCCTCGCTGAGCAGATCTGTTGCTGCCTCTGTGTTTCCATCACTTTCCTTTTCACCTCATCACTGCTGAGAGGCAATGTTCCCTGAGTGTCAGGACCTGATGTTCATACCAATGCCCTAAAGACTGACTTTCTTTCTTTCTTTCTTTCTTTCTTTCTTTCTTTCTTTCTTTCTTTCTTTCTTTCTT